GTCTTGATTTGACTACCAACTCTGCAAATGACTTCCTGCAGGACCCTTAAGGGGGGAGCAAACCTCTCTGTGCTTCCACTTTCTTCCTCGATGCGATAAAGGCAGTACCACAGGGCAGATGAAATGAAAACTGTAAGAGTTCTTGGAGAATCTGCCAACTGTAAACCCTCATAATAGTTTTCATTTCCTTTCCTTCCTCGTCTCTAGTGCTGTTTTCTGGTGTGATTTAAAAGACATTAGCAGAACCATCAGGAGGAAATTAAGGCAAGCAAGGCTGTGTTAACTCTTTAACAAGTTCGGAATGAGAAAAAAATGAAGAAAAAAAGCAGCCTAAAAACACCAGCTAATGTGCTTTCTTGAATCATTAAACACAGTTTTCTGGCGGTGTGTGGACTGGCTATGGGGAAGTTGGAAGTAAGCATGTAGTCTAAATGGAACTCTGTTTTCTCTTTTGAAGTGCACTCAGGCAAAAGAAGTAGCAAACATAAGTTTGTTTTTCTGAAATCTCTAAGTTGGCTTCTCTAGGAAGAGGCATTTCACAAAAGCATCTTAATAAGATGGGACACAGGAGACATTGAAACGATGGAAGTAGTGTGACTGGGATGGACAGAAAGTCATTTAAAAACTTTTATTTTAACAGGGACAGATGTCAGGATGCCAGTAAAAAACATCTTCATCTGCTTCCTCCAAAGCTTCGTCCTTCCCTCTTCTCTCTGGCAGAGATCATTCTCTCAAATCCTGCTCTACTCGCTTGATCCTGGGTAGGATTAAAATTTCTCAGGGGTAGGGGTGGGGGCGCTCTCACATGCTACTCACTTACCCTGGAGCTTATGAAACATGCCCATTCTGTGTACACTGGAAGGACCAAGAATGTTCATAATTTAGAGAAAGAAGAAAAAAAGAAGAAATGAGAGGTTCTGGACAACCAAACCTCAAACTAAAAAGTTCACTGTTTCAAAAACACCAGTGTTGGTATAGAATTAGAGCTAATTATAACAATTTGCTTCTTTCTCTAAACACTTCTTTCAGAATTACATTTGCCAAGCTGTCAAGGTGAACGACCCTATTTTACCATGGTTCAGGGCCTGAGGGTTGAGACCCAGACGGAACAGCTGCTCCACAAATGGTGAAATTTGTCTCTGTCAGAATCACCGCATACACAGCTGTGAACTTCAAGAGAGTCTACAAGATAAAGACAAGAAGGAGCCCATCTCTGAGGCATGACCTAGCTGGTGTTTGCTACTTAGTTAAATTCACTGACTGAGCTGATGGGGGGGGGGGGGTCAGGTTAGTCTATGGGAAGGTTGAGGTGTTCTTTTCAAGAATATGGATCAGTGTCTTCCTGGAGTAAATCCCATATAAATGGAGAAGACCGTGGCGCACTCCCTTTTATTTGAAGACACATCTGAATTTCTGTGGAGAAAATACATGCTGACCAACAACTTCTATATATCAGATCAAGAGAAACCACTTTTTAAACCCAAAATTTAATTTGAAAATCCTCCTTAAAAAGCAGCAGAATGAATATTAAGGTTTATTCATTATATACAAATGCTAATAAAATAAAACATCACATTAAATGTCAAGCTACACTGCCTGTAAATAAAAATTCCTGGAAAGAACCACACCTCACATTCATTGGTCCTTTAGTGACTGCAGAGAGCTTGGAATGCTGTAAGTCCAGAGCCAAATCACTTTGAGCCAAACTTGACCCTTTCACCCTTAATGACAACTTATTGCTCTCCTCCATATGTGAGCCAACATTTTTTTGATCGACAGGCAAATCCTTTGGAATGTAGAAACAGAACCCCTGTTTTCTTCAACCAAAAAACTAAGAATGCTGTCACGTACCATCTGAAGGCAGCAGCTGAAATCTCCCTACTCTGCTTTAAACTGCCTACCTGTACCCATCAATGCCCTTAGAAAGGGCATTGATTCATGACTTTGTTCATTCTGTTACTATAAAACTTTAATCAACCTATTATCAAGTGGAACAGGGTGACTTGAAACCTTTCCTGGGCTAGGGTCTGTCATATTTGTCTACAGAATAAACTGTGTCTTATCTTTCGTGAGATGAGATTTGTGTGTGTGTGTGTGTGTGTGTGTGTGTGTGTGTGTTTCTGTCAACATTGCAGTACACGAGGCCACACTGTATCCAGATGAATACAGAAGCCGTCTTGGTTTGCTTTCAATTTCTGTGACAAACATGACAGCCAAATGCACCTTGAGAAGGCTGGGGTTTATTTCAGTTTGTAGCTTATAAGTCCATCACTGAGAGAAGTCAGGGAAGCTCAAGGCAGGGTCCTGGAGGCAGGAACGGAAGTACAGACCATGGAGAAACACAGCTCTACTGACTTGTTCTTCATGATTTTCTCAGTCTTCTTTCTTATAGTACCGTGGAACACGGGTTCCATGGTCCAACATTTCCCTAGTGAGCCCGGTCCTCTCATTTAAGCCATTTATCAAGAAAATATCCCCACAGACTTGCCTATAACAAATTGGATGGAGGCATGTTCTCATTTGCGGTTCTGCCTCTAAGATAACTCGAGCTTGTGTCAAATTGGCAAACAACTAAGCAAGCAGGACAGGGACAGAGAGCGTCCGCTGGACACATCTGCTCTGCATTTCAGCCTGGTGTTATGAGTCGTCATCAAAAGTCTGACACATCCTAGTGTCAATCTCCCTAAATTTCCTCCCCCTCACCCATCTTTCTGCTCTCAAGGCCAACTCTACATTGCAGCTGAAAAAGGAGATGCGGGAAAACCATAGGGTGACCTTAGACCAGCGCACCACTGCCCTATAACTGGAAAGTCAAACCATGAACTCACTCCCTTACAGTTTAAAACTCATTCATCTGCTCTGCAGAAAACTGATTTCACCATTTTCCTCCTGCATGCTTCTCCACCCAATAGTCCCAGAACAGGTCTACAAGCACAGAAAAAGGAAAGACCCTCAGGAATTCTCTTAAATCTTCTCCTTATTTATATGCTAAACTGGTGTTTTTAATAGTGTGAGTTAACATTGGGCATCAGCTGAAGAGCAAGAAAAAAGAGGTGAAAGAGAAGGTAATAGTGAAAGAATTACACACATCAGGAGTTCAAGAGAAAACAAGAGCAAGAAGACAAAGGCACAACTGAAGAAAAACATTGAAAATTAATGCTAACCAAAACCAGGGAACAGAATTTTCTGTAATTTGACATGGATTGTATAATTCTGACAGTAAAATTTTTTCTCTATATTGCTAGAAGTTTGTAAATATCCCTGTATTTGAGAGACTGTTTCACGGCATTCTGGTTGTTTCACCCGAAGTATCTTAAGTACTTTTAAATGCTTGCATGCAGAGTCCGACTTGAGGATGGTGTATTAATCATTGATAATTCAGGTATTCTGCAGCTTTCTAGGTGATAGACGCTCAACATACGCTCTACTAACCTTTTAATGAAAACACCAACAGGAATAATAAACCGAGCTCCACTGAAAATGCATACATGATTGTGAGAATATTTTCAAGGACAAGGACTTGCATTTGTACATAAAATCTTGTAGCTTGAAACTGCATCTCTCAAGCAGATCAAAGAGTTACCACTAATTTGCGGGGTTATACAAGTCGAATGTAGCAAAACAGAGCAGGGTAGTAGGTTACAAGAGATGGGATTCGGGGTGGAAAAAGTTTCAATAAAAAGGTAAATTCATAATCTGGCATATCCCATGGTAACTAAAGTTAACAACACTGTCCTGTATATTTGACATTTGCTAAGAAATAGCTCACGTGCTGGAAAGATAGCTCAGGGGTTAGGAGAACTTCCTGGTCTTACAGAGGACCTGGGTCTAATTCTAAACACCTATATGATGACTCACAACTATCTGTAACTTCAGATCCAAGGAATCAAATGTTGATCCCATCCTCTGAAGATATCAGGCATGTACATGGTAGGTGGACTTACATTCATATACACATTCATATACCAAAATACCCATACACATAAAATAAATAGATCTTAAGGATCCTGAAGAGGAGCAACAAAAAGGTATGAATTAACTTGACTGCGGTGATCATTTCACTGTCCTGAAGCCTATCGCATCCATAACTTGTACATTTTACATACACACAATCTTGTCAGTTCTATCTTAACAACGTTAAAGATGTTATTGTACACACGGGCAAGCACACGTTCTGTCCTAGACAGAACACAAATGCTGTTGTTACAGAACAGTCTACAGAAAAGTACGCGAGGACACCACAAGTTGCGTCCCACACGGAGACGACAACAATACAAACGCAGTTGTTTTCTGCAAGCAAAGATTGATTTCTTAGTCTGTGGTCCAAGTTAAAGAAAACAAAGAAGAAAAATCTCCATCGGAAAGGTGCCTATGATTTCTGTTCTCCAGAGTCCTGACACAGCACCCTCCCAATTTAAATCTCCCATAAAGCTATTCTGTAGTTTCCTATCAAAGCAACAAAAGGGCGGACTGGAGAGATGGCCCAGAGATTGACGGCAGTATGTGCTTTTAACCAGGGCTGGCTGCTCACACAGAACTGCATGTAAAGTCACCTCCAGGGGATCTGATGACCTCTTCTGGCCTCCACAAGTACTGCAGTCACGAGCATACACACATACAATTAAAACTAAAAATTAAAAAGCATTGAAAAGAATCACAATAAATACCAAGATAAGGATACATGAAACATTCTATTGCCCTACCCTTTGCAGGAGAATAACGATGGCCATAACTGGACACCAATATTCAGAAAAGACCAAGGGGTCTTTGAAAGGATGTGCAGAGTTCTTATGTCTAACAACAAAACCCCCCACTCTTTTGAGACATTCCATTCTTTGCTACAACCTGCTCCCAAAGCATGCAGGCAAAATGGACAGCCACAGCCACACATGCTGGTTGAGATCCCGAATGCCGCGCCTGAGGAAGCAGAGAGGCTTCACGTCCCATTATCCACAGATCACCTTGCAATGCTCATTGCATTCTGGGAATGCGGTACTTACTCTTGGACTGCTCTGGCTATGGAAAGGGCCGTGGATCCAGTTTCATTAACGCTATCTAAGGTCACATTTGGCAGGTCATCATCATCACTGTCACTTTTACTTTGTCTGGGAGATAGGCCTCGGGGGTCCATTTGTGCTGGGAAGAAAAGGCATATATAACGAATTAAAATTAGTGTGCACAGCTGAACTCCATGCTGGACCAACGTCGAGCATTCCCACGAGCAGAATCCCGGAAACTCCTGGAATTAGTGTTTTATACACTGACCATTCACAGACACGTTTTTCTTGTCCCTTTGGTGAACACCATTCCTGCATTAGATCCCAAGAGTTCCCTGTATGCACTAGAACAAAGGTCATCAATATCAGTAAATTGTGATATTGCCAACGTGGAGTGGTCAGAGCTAATAACAGAGCTCCTAAGCAACCTGTTCCACCCCCTGGTTTCTCCTGCTCTCTTCTGTTGCCAGGCTTCCAGCCACACCAGTTTTCATTAGCGTTTTCCCTAGAGGACACAGGGCATGAGGCAGAGAAGGTATTATTCGCTTCACACTCTCATGCGAGGTTAAAAAAAAGGAACAAAGTGGGCATGATATTTTTTTGTTTTTTTCTTCAGTGACCTGTCACCTTGCAGTTTACCACTATTGCCAGTGGGGCAGAGCCTTGACTACATAAAAATGGCGGAGGTGGAAGCTCCAAGCACTTCTAATATCTGTTTACATGTGTTGCAAAGGATGCTCTCGTCTCTGTCATGGCTACAGCCTTTTCAAAGATATTTCTACATATGATTCTTCTGCTGCTGCAGACTTGTCAAGGTAAGATGCTGATCTCCTGCTGACCAAAGCCACCTGAGCATTTTGATGAGTAATTCAGTCTAAAATAACCCATGAATTTTAAAGTTAGATTTTTTTTTTTTTGCCATTTTTCCCCCTCTGTGAGTAGCTTTGGAAATCGGTGCCTGAAATTTCAAGTCTCACCTCCCTTAGATAGAAAGCACACCTCCTCATTTGAAAATCCCCTTAAGCAAAAGTTAAAATACATGATTCCAATCCAGAAGTTTACTTCTCAATGGAAAACAGAGGCTTTCCAAAACCACCACTGTTAGCCAAGGAAAGCAACATGTACTTTAAAACAAGGTTACAATGACTTTTGGGGTACAACTACATTTCAAATCAAGATTACAATGGAAGTTAGGTTCAATCATATTTAAAAGTATGGTTAGAATGATATTTGGATACAATTGAGCAAAAAGATACCTTTTATTTTTTCAAATATCTTTTTTTTTGCAGCTATGCATTATGGACCCAAAAGTAAAGGCTGATATTTCATCATGTTTCATCCAGGAAGAGACAATTTGTGGTTGTCCACAATATTTACAGTGTGGCTGGAAAAAACTAACCCTAGAGGGTCTCCACAGGTTTTGAACTGAAGAAGCTGGTACTCATTGCATCTCGTGGATGCTAGTCTAGATGACACACTTTCTCTCTCTAGGTCCATCCAAATAGAAAAGTGCTTTGTGAAATGATATTGCTTGTTAAATACTATATGAATTAATTCAAACACTCTACAACAGTCATCTTTAAATGTGGATAAATTCCTCACTGGTCTGCCCCAGAGATTTTAGGAGAATATGGAAATAGTTTGCCTGTCAAGTCTTGAGAGGTAGGGTGCTACTGGAGACATAAGACTGTTATTGTCATATTGTAGATAAGTCAAGGATATTGCTGAATAGTCTATAATACTCTAAACACTCAACCATCCACACTAAAGAATCTATCACTTTAAAATGTCAATGATGCAAAGACTGAAAATTTTACCCAGAGAGTTAAGAGCTTAGACAAATGGGGGTATTCTGTGAATGACATGTATTCTGTGAATAATAAATGTTCAGTTGAATAAATGTGTCCGAGCTCCAAAGTCTCTGACAAGAAAATACTGATACACATTGGATTACCTATATTCTCTAGCTTTGTCCTCAAATACAGCAATTAATTCTCCTTAAATCAGAGGGCAGAGTCAAAATTCGATTGGCCAGAATTAACCGCAGAGTTTTTGGTGGACTAAGATTAGGATAGAGAAAAACAGGATGGAATCAAGAAGAGCTTAGATTGATTCATTTGCAGGCCTTTTGATCTGCAGGTGTGGAGAGGCAGGTTCAGCTGATCGTTCCTCTGTTGTTCTTCGGATCTATCAGGTTTTAACCCCAATATCTGACTCCTGAGTTTTATTTAATAATAGAACGATACAAATAATCATTTCACCTGTGTCCATCGTGTGGCAAGATCAAGGGGTGCCTTTTAAAGCCACCATTTCTCCGAGCTGCTGCAGGTCACTGGCTTTTCTCAGTAGGGCTTTTTTTCAGTATGTAGTCTCTTTAATAGCCACGCTGGGACTGCACATCCCAGCTCCAAATCTGCAGTTGCAGCCTCCTGCAGGGTCTCCAACAGCCTGAGGCAGCTGCCCATTGCCAGCTCTGTCATCCAGGCAGCCGGTGCCCTCCAATGCTGTGTCCTAACCTCATGGGCTCTTCCCACACCATCTCCCCATGCATTTTTCAGAGGGCTCACTTCTCCTTCACTTGTGGTGCTAGAGCAGCTGCAGTTACCCTCAGCTTGGGTGTGTAGCACAATGAAGATCTTCTGCAACCCTGTTCTGGGCACCCTGCAGCGCCCAAAGTCCCTGCTTGCACAGCTGAGCACTGTCACTGTGCTCAGCTTCCCACACATACCTCCAGTGTTGAAGCTATGGAAAAACTGAAAAGTCAGCAGAGCAGGTGAGGCACCTGTGAATTCTTAGGGAGGCAATCAGGTTTTATTTCTTTTTAAAAATCTTTTGCAAATTAAGAATGGGAAACAATATCATGATGCAGGGAGTTAGGACTCTATATAGTTCCACAAAGGAAGGTTTGAAAATTGAAAACATTAAATGAAGGGATAATCAACTTAGCTGGGATTGGCATAATATTGGTCAAATAAAAATAAAATAAAGTAAAAATAATATTTTTTTTTTAACAAAGATTGACTTAAGCTGTAAATAGAATGCTCTCAGATCCTACTGCATCTGTTGGTTTTGTGGGAGCCTAGGCAGTTTGGATGGTCACCTTACTAGACCTGGATGGAGGTGGGTGGTCCTTGGACTTCCCACAGGGCAAGGAACCCTAACTGCTCTTTGGGCTGACTAGGGAGAAGGACTTGATTGGGGGAGGGGGAGGGAAAGGGGAGGCGGCGGTGGGGAAGAGACAGAAATCCTTAATAAATAAATAAATAAACAAACAAGAATTTAGACAAATATTAATTTGATCTTTGCTAATTCAGAATGTAAAAGGGCAATCATTCCTTTAAAGGTAAGATCAGAACCCGTGGATGAATGGGCAGATGGGGAAAGAAAAGCCATATGTGACTAGCAGAGCAATGAGTTTATGATTTGTTACAGCAATGGAAAACACATATTAACATTTCTTCACTCATAAAATAAAGAGGGCTTCTGAGAGAAATATTAAAAGGTATTATCAAGAATAGCTATTGCTATTCAGGTTGTACATAGGCAGGGTAAAACAGCTGCTGATCTTCGAAAGGTACGAACAGCACTACCTTTAAAATGGTTAAATGACAAAATTGGCTAGATAGAACAATGGCCTTTGGCATCAAAAAACTACAGACATTAGAACACCTGGTGAGGGAGCAGCTAAAGGCTCAACATATTGAAGAACTGATCAGTCTTTGGAAGCCCTCTATATTTGTCATTAAAAAGAAGCTTGGAAAATAGAGAAAAATAATAGATATGAAAGCTATTGATAAGGTGATTCAGTCAATGGACTCTGTACAGCCTAGAATTTCCCCCCCCTTTTTTTTATTACCTAAAGGCTGCTCTACTATAGAAGACTGTTTTTTAAACTATACCTTTACAAGAACAGGATAGAGAAAAATTTGCTGTTACAGAGCCTACTTATAATAATTTTCAGCCTGTTAAAAGGTATCAGTGGAAAAGTCTTCCAAAATGATGTTAAACAGCCCTACCTTTTGTCAATATTTTGTACAACAACCATTCGAAATAATTCATAAACAGTTCCCTCAATCTATATTTTACCATGATATCTTTGTTGTCATTTCAAAAAAGCAGCATGAGAGAGAAATATGCCATGTAACAGAACTCACGTGCAAGGGCTTTTTATTAGGGGTAAGGTAACATAAGAAAAAAGGGAAGGGGAGGGGTGAGGGTGGCCTGTGGGCAGAGGAACAGCAGAAGAGAAAGGCAGAGAGAGAGAGAGAGAGAGAGAGAGAGAGAGAGAGNGTGAAGACTGGAAAATTATGTGTATGTGGTGTGTGTGCGTGTGTGTGTGTGTGTGTGTGTCCATGTCCGTCTGTGTGTGACCCTTCCATTAGAAAAGCTAATTACTTAGATGCTTGTGTAAACTGGAAAGTTGTGTGTGTGTGTGTGTGTGTGTGTGAGAGAGAGAGAGAGAGAGAGAGAGAGAGAGAGAGAGAGAGGGAGACAAAGACAGAGACAGAGGCAGAGGCAGAGGCAGAGGCAGAAAAGCAGAGTGAGAAAAAAGAGAGATGTGGGGTGGGCAAGGGCCCTTTAAAAGGGATCTTAGAGAATGTACATAGAAGGTGCTCTTAGTGGAGACAGCTGAGGACAAAGCCTGTCAGAACCCCAAGGGGAGGCCAGTACAGATGCCTGACTGTTAACAATCTTCAGTTGATTCAGACACAGAGACTTTAGAAATAATGTTTGATGAAGTAAAGAGAATTTTGTCTTGTTTTGTGTTACAAATTGCTCCGGAAAAAAAAATACAAAGAGAAGATTCTCTTAATTACCTAGGATATTAAATAGGTTTACAGAAAATTCAACTACAGAAACAAATCAGGAGAAATAAATAATGAACTCTTAATGATTTTCAAAAATTGCTAGGAGATACTAACATGTCGTGATAAACAATCAAGATAACTACTCAAGAACTATGTAATTTATTTCAAAACTTAAGAGGTGATAAGAACTTAAATAGTCTAAGGAAATTATCAACTGAGGCAGGGATAGAATTGGCTTTTGTAAAAGAGAAATTACAGTATGCACACATGAATTGCCTGTATCTAGAACTCGAATGCATCCAGGTCATACTACTGCCTACTCATTTTCCTT